TATATATATATATATATGTATATATATGTATATATATGATATATGTGCCGCAAGCCTTGGGTTGTTGGAACTTACGGTGACCCCGCCACCAACAGGCCAAGGCTTGCGGCACACACACACACATATATAATGCATAATTAAGCATACAATTTTTTGTTCACTACAAATAAATAGTTTTCATTTAAAGTGATTTTTTCATATAAGCAATTTTCTTGTTTCTATAAGCTTTACTCGGCACTATTGTGGTCTCATGATGAACAACAATAGTAGCAGTCACAATTTCTCAACTGTTTGGGCTTACTAATTGTATAGTGATCGTGGCATTGTTTCTTATTAGATATCCCGTTTTGCTTACAGGTACAACAAAGAGCACAAATCTTAAAAATAATATAGGCTCTATAAATGTGAAACTAACAAAAGATGACTTGGAAGAACTCTCAAATGCTTTCTCTACTCAAGATGTTGCTGGTTCAAGCACTTGGGGTTACATGGAATCCGTATCATGGAAGTATGCAAACACTCCTGCAAAAGTCAAAGATGCATAAAATTTATCTTTGTCATTAACAATGCTCCATATTTTTAGTTTCTCATCTAGAAGTTAGGTGCATTGTATGAGATATAAAAAGATGATGATAAAATATCACCTTATGAGTGTTTTAACTCGTCTTAAGTCTACTTAACAGATTATGTTATCAATGTAATCTTCTACCAGGGGTAATGCTCGTAAGATTAAATTTGAATAAAAGTTCCTAACTTTGCTTTTTAGATAAAGGTAAGCTTACATGCAAAAAGTTATGTTTACAATGATTTTTTTAAATGATGGAAGGTTATATGAATTGAAATTTCTAAGTTTAAATAGGCGATTGTGTCGACATTGAAAGTTTTACTATAGATAAGTAGAAATTAAGCGACATAATCTCAATGTGTTGTAGTGTACCTATCCAAATAATTTATGCTATTTGGATTAAAGTAGTGGAAAACTCATTAACTTCTTAAAGAGATTTACTTATATATCATACAAATTAATTAGTTTTGATATTTAAGGCCTAAACTTTAATATTTATTTATATGACACTTGTGTCCATATCACATCAAAAAATATGCTAAAATGTATGTTTCATTTTAGAAAAATTAATATTACTGATATTTTTAAAGTAGGATTAAAGATTTGAATATTTTGTAAGTAAATATTTTAAGTTAGACTCTTCAATATATCAATTCATAAAGAAATATCTGGCACATATGCAAGTCCTTAAGATCAATCTATGAAAAAATATATATTTGCTTAAAGGAACGGTCAGAGGCTATTATACGAGCCTCGACCATCTCTCATGCGCCGAAGAATTCAAGTACCACACCCTATATTAGGGGGGGAATCGAACCTCATACCAGATGGGACTTGCAACTAACAAGTAGATGCCCGACCAACTGATTTGAGTACGCGAGACATATATATATATATATATATATATATATATATATATATATATATATATGTATGTATGTATGCATGCTTGTATCTATGTGTGTGTGTGTGTGATATAACAATACTTTTTGACTGGTTTAACTATCTGTAAAAATAGTTGTAAATAATTTTGTTTTGTTTTTATTTTTTTGAAACTTATTGTCAGTAAATGAACAAGTCAAATGTAATGAGCATTGGCAGATACCTGATCATGATGATCTTTTGATGAGAGCACATTCACATAAAGTAATAAGAAATACACTTGTAGTCTCGTATTGTGTGCTTCTCTAACAGGAAAAAACTTACACAAAACTTGAATATGTTCTCATATAGTTAATGGCACTTTATGCAAATGGATGAAGAGAAATATCAAATAGAGAGAACAAAAAAAAAAAAAACCCTAATTTTGTAAGAGATTATTAAAAAACATTATAGCGACGATGGAAACCATTTAAGGACAATTTTTATTGAGGTATGATGAGTTTACGGTGATGGGACTACGTAATGATATGTGAATCTTTTCTTTTTTTTTTAAGATGCAGAGATGCAGGACAGTAATACCTTGCATAACATGCTTGGAGAACTCTAGACTCACGAAGAAAAAGGGTCTATTTGGGGCAACAAAAGCTCATTAGCTGCTTATTGAATAAGAAACTGATCAATTGTTGTTTGAAATCTATTGATGGTGAAATCCTTTATCTATTTGGATGATCTGTTGTACTGCAGCCGTTTTTAAGAAAAAAGACAGTTATGCCTTGATGTATATATGTAAGCTATAAGTGTACAATTTTATGCAAAAATTCAAACATTATTACATAAATAAATTTGGAAAGCTAAGAAAAGGCTAGAAGTCCTTCACCACGCTACATCAAGTGTGATGCATCATGTAACTCATAATAATACAATCATAAAAATTATAATAACAACAAGTAATGCTACTATAGCATTGTCTTTTATGTCCAAACGATCAAGTCTTTTGGAGATTTTTCTTTCCAAAGCAAATCTCCAAATATGATCACCATTGGTGTGTATTACTCACTATTATCAGCCCATTTAAAAAATTGCAGTCGTCGGGGGTTTTATCATGGGTCATCTATAGAATCTTCTACCAAAACTTGCATTTAGTCTTAAGATATACTCAGAATATTGCATGCTGCAATTGTAGTATAAAACTCTTGAAGCATTTAAGAACCATGAACTTATATGTCCTAAGAATAAAAAGTAACATCAAAAAAATAGAGTATATGTGCAATAGAATTAGTAAGTGAAAGAAAAATAGGGCTTAATATCATAAAGAAATACATAATCAAACATTACAAAATGGTTGAAGACACATAAAGAAGAACTTAGTTGTTGACATGAAGCAAATTTATGTATTTTTTTCTATGTTTAATAAATACATTTTTCTTCCTTATCTATCACAATTTTATGTTCGTGGAAGGTTTTTTTTTTGTGTTTTGAGGGTTACAGGGGGTCAAACGTGCATTATAGAGTGAGAAAACGACAAATTCAAGGGAGCCAAACAGGTGTAACCACGCCCACAAGCGGTGAAATTATATTGCCTTCTTTGTATGGCTGGTGTAACTACGCCAACTTTGTGTGTGGCCACATCATAAGCTGCATGAGTACGCTGCAATCAGACATGGTCACATTGCCTCTTTGATCGATAAAAACAGTTATGGCTTAGCTACATCGGAATTGGTTGTGGTCATGCCGTCGAAGCCCCTTCTCAAATTAAAAAGAGTTTTCATGCCTGTTTTGGGCGAGCGCTTTAAAAGAGGTGGCTTGAGCATGATTTAGATCATCTTGGACAACTGAAAGCTAGCTTTTCTTGTGGATAAAACTTTTTTTAATGACATAGAGGTTTCTCTCTTTCTTATTAGATAAAGAAGTCCTTAGGGTTATTTTCCTTGTGTTTTCTTTATGTTTTTTAGAGCGAGTTTGTGAGAGAGCACTTATTTCTGATGTGAGAGAAAAATCTTGGAGCGTATTCATTGTATGGCAAGGATCACGGCTTGTGTGGAGAGGAAAATTGGCTATAAGTTTTTATTTTTTTTTATCTGTGGTTCAATGACTCGTTTTTCAATTTTCTCTCGCATGTCTCGTAGCTAAATTATTTTCATGCTTTCGTGATGTAAGGATAGTTATTTTTCATGATTTTTCATGTATGTGATTTCCAATAACATTTTTTTGTGCTTATCATGCATGCTGGTTGTTGGTTTAACTTTCTAAACTTAGTTTACTTTTGATCTAGCCAATTAAGAAGTTAAAACCATGCATGATCTCAAATTTTTGCTCATTGACTTGTAGAATAAATAAGTTAACTTACAAAAACCTAATGAAATAGGCATATTGTCATTAGGGTTTTGCAACCAAGATAAGTGATTTGAAAGTCATGAGAAACGGTATATGGTTAAACCTCTTTTAACTTTAATATGATTTTCAACCCTTTTTTAGACTTAGTAAAAGACTAAGAATAACTATCATCTCCAGTTGACAACTATCACATAGGTAAATTCTTAGAAAAATCACAAAACACACCACACCTAAATAATAGAAGGACGGGTCTCTTCTCATCTGAAGGACACTCTAACTTTCGTGCTTCTTATGTTTCTTGATCTTGTTGTTTAATTTACTTACTTACTATTTTTCTTATGATTGTAGAATTTCTTTATTACATTAGTAATCATGTCAAACAAAATTCGGTGGGCTAGTAACTGGATATTCATCTATAAAAAATAATCGAAACCCTTCTCTCGTGGTAATATTACTTAATATGTATACTTGTGTGCTTGACTACTTACCTCATAATAAATTTTCGACCATCAGTTGTCTTTAAAACTTTATTACTGAATTTGTATGTGTCCAAAAGCAAAACAACGTAAGGATAATCCAGAAGAACCAGAGAGAAAAGTAAATAACACAAACGTAAATCTTAATATAAACCACAAAAAATTTTATTAGATTACACAAAATCACATAATTCACTAAACATTTATAAATTACGTAACATTAATGATGAAAATTACTCTCAAGAAAAAGCAAATGTCTAATGTATATATACAAGAAATGACCAAGAATATAAGTATCAGTCACAACCAAAGCATGAATACACTTTTAACCACTTCATGAAAACTGTTAATTAGCGTCAAAATTTGCGTCGAACTTTAATTGGATGCAAAATCTGTGTCGCATTTCCATCTAATTATCGTCCAGCAGAGTTGAAGCCAAAAAAATAGATGCAAAGGCTAAATGCAGCGATTACCGTCCCCTTTGCGTCGACCATGTCCCACACTATTGAGTTACTTAATAGCATAGGTCATGGTAGATGCAAATAGGATGGTAACACCCCAATATCTTCTCCCACCCGATCAAACCTCATTTCCTCTCCCTTCTTCCTTTTGGTAGCTCTGTGTGGTGAATCGATGACATCGAGGAGAATCCGGGCAAAAGCAACCACTTCGGCGAGCTAGAGCTACTCCGACTACATTTTCACCATCCAAATCGCGACTCCAACAAGATAAACTCCTTTTTTCCGGCAAGATCAAACTTTTTAAGTCAACTTTTCTAACAAGATCGACAGTTTCAACATATGTATAACTATTTTAAAATAACGTTCCCTTAAGAAAAAAATTTCTCATGCATATTCTGCATCATTAATTATTATTTTTTTTCTTTTCAAAGATACATGAAAAGAAAGAAGACTTTACTAATATACAAGTTGCACCTATAAATGAATATTTTAATGATGAAATACTTATGTAGGCATGAACATGTTATTTGTTTCCTATCTTTAGCAATATTTTCATCTACTCTTAAATCAACATAAGTTATATCATTAATAGGATTTAGACTAACTGATCTTTAAATTTGTTTGAGAAATTGATCTCTAAATTTGTGATCCATAAAAATGATACACCACCTCTAATTTCAAATAATTTTGGTTTTTATTAGCCCATGAAATCTGGCTTAAGTTAGTAAAATCACATTATTTAAATCTTTGTACCAAGTTAGAATGCTTATTTGGCAACAAGACATGAATTTTCCTCTTTCTTTTTTCCTCACTTCGCTGATTTCATATAACCGTAGTAATTAAGAAAATTCAGAATAGAGCACTAAGAAGCATAATATCCGTATAAGGTGTTAAAATAGTCGCCGACTATTTATGTGAGGCCGTTTTAGTCTCAGAGCTTGTAAAAGTGTTGAAATAGTTTCTAAATTCTTTAAATTGGGTGTAAAACAGT